TCGACAACCGGGCGGCCAGCTCATAACACTTTCACTCTTCGTCGTGAGACTCCCGGCGTGTCGCCTTTCACACCGACACCCGGGCGCCCAGCTCACACCGTTCGCGGTCTTGAGACTCCCGGCGTGCCTGCTGTTGCAGTGACACCCGGGCGGCCAGCTCACAACACTCCCCGTCATGAGACTCCCGGCGTGTCGGCTTTCACACCGACACCCGGGCGCCCAGCTCACACCGTTCGCGGTCTTGAGACTCCCGGCGTGTCTGCTCTCGCATCGACAACCGGGCGGCCAGCTCATAACACTTCCACTCTTCGTCGTGAGACTCCCGGCGTGTCGGCTTTCACACCGACACCCGGGCGCCCAGCTCACACCGCTCGCGGTCTTGAGACTCCCGGCGTGCCTGCTGTTGCAGTGACACCCGGGCGGCCAGCTCACAACACTCTCCGTCATGAGACTCCCGGCGTGTCGGCTTTCACACCGACACCCGGGCGCCCAGCTCACACCGTTCGCGGTCTTGAGACTCCCGGCGTGTCTCCTTTTGCACAGACATCCGGGCGGCTAGCTCATAACACTCTTCGCCGTGAGACTCCCGGCGTGTCGGCTTTCACACCGACACCCGGGCGCCCAGCTCACACCGTTCGCGGTCTTGAGACTCCCGGCGTGCCTGCTGTTGCAGTGACACCCGGGCGGCCAGCTCACAAAATTCTCGGTCATGAGACTCCCGGCGCGTCTGCCTTTGCACTGATCCCCGGGCGTACAGCTTCCACTGTTCCCGGTCCTACGCTACCCGAAGCAACTGCATTTGAGTTGGACCCTAATGCGATTCCCTTTCAGCCAAAGGCCGGCACGATCCCCAGCGTCAGAGCCGCTTTGAAGTTCTCAACACCAAGGATGGTCGCTCTGGATGGCCGGCCGCTAATGGACTCGCACCAGCCGACGGGGCTAGGAACAACCTCACTAAACGAGGAACCGACATTGCTCATCCCAGCTGTGAGTAGAATCGAATCTACACCCAAGTCTCTTGAACCTCGTATGACTGTGAATGTACTAGGTATGCCAATAGCCGCTCTTTTAGATACTGGAGCAAACATATCGCTTATTGGGGATGCAGTATTTGCGGAATGTAACAAGAGAAAGATACATCTTCGGTCAGCAAACGTGAAATTGCAAGTAGCATCGGGGTCCGTACTGCCTGCTGCCGGCGCAGTCAGGTTACGAATTTCCTTTCATAGTAGAAAACGAAGACAACGGTTCGTATACCTCCCAGAACTGCCGGTGCCCATGATCCTTGGTAGAGATTTTATTGCAGCGGAGCGGGTTTTGCTCGACTTTGCCCAGGCTGGATATTGGTTGGGTGGCGAAACGAAATTAACGCCGTTTACCAGACGGCAGGATTGTATTCGCGGCCAAGCGTTACCGTTAAACTTTGCCGGGCAGATGCCTTTACTTCCAGACAGCGTGCTCAAAGCCGTGCAAAAGTGTTCCGGTGAAGACAAACAGAAGCAGCTCCAGCAACTGCTGGAACCCTTCTCGCCGATGTTCACGGAAAGACCTGGGAAAACCGATCTCCTACAGCACCGCATCGAAACCAAGGATGCACCTCACCGGAGGTGCAATCCGAGACCCATAAGTGCTCACAAGCGCGAACTTCTTGATGCGGCGCTATTGGAAATGATCGACACAGGCGCAGTACGTCAGTCAAAAAGCCCGTGGGCTTCCCCGGTAGTCCTTGCTCCAAAGAAGGACGGCACAGCAAGGCTTTGTGTTGATTACAGGCGCCTAAATGAAGTGTCAGTCAGAGACAGTTACCCGTTTCCTAGTATTTCCTCAGTAATGTATGCCCTTGGAAACGCGACTGTTTTCACAACCCTCGATTGCAGCCGCGGATTTCTTCAAATCGAAGTTCATCCGGCTGATGTAAAGAAGACCGCATTCATTTGCCATAGGGGGTTGTTCGAATTCACTCGCCTTCCCTTTGGTTTGTCCAACTCTCCCGCCAGCTTTCAACGCCTAATGGACGTTGTCCTCGGTGACGCGAAGTACGAGTTTGCGATGGCGTACATGGATGACGTAGTGGTCTTTTCACGAACATTCGAGGAGCATCTCGTGCACCTTCAGATCATACTCGAACGAATGCGTCAAGCCGGCCTTACGATTCATCCAGATAAAGTCCAGTTGGCATCGCCTGTAATCAACCTTCTCGGATTTGTTGTGGATAACGGAACGCTGCGGCCGAATGAAGATAAGCTGCGCGCAATAACGGAGTACCCACCCCCTTATGACGTCAAAAGCCTACAGAGATATCTCGGGATGATTGCGTTTTATAGAGATTTTATTCCGCAATGCGCTGAGATAACTGAACCCCTGAACCGATTGCTCCGCAAAAAAACGAAATGGTGCTGGGGGCAAGAGCAGCAAACCGCATTCGCGTGTCTTTCAAGGGCTGTGACTGAAAACGCGTGTTTAAACCTGCCCGACTTGAATCGTCCGTTCGTCTTGCAGACCGACGCAAGCGATTACGGATTGGGAGCAGTCCTTCTGCAGGAACATGACAGCGTTCTTCGTCCCGTAGCTTTCGCCAGTCATACGTTAACCGGAGCGGAGCGAAACTACTCAACAACCGAAAAAGAGTGCCTGGCAATTATTTTTGCGCTTAAGAAGTTTGACATGTACCTTGACGGCGCTTCGTTTAGCATTCAAACTGACCACATGGCTCTCTCGTGGCTCAAAGGGCTTCAAAACCCTGCAGGACGACTCGCTCGATGGGCCCTTTCGCTCCAGCGCTACAAATACACAATCGAGTACAAGCGTGGAGTGGCTAACCACGTTGCAGATGCGTTGTCCCGTGCTCCACTTCTCGGGCAGGAAATGCAGGTGGATCCCGACTTGGTGGCACTGGCCAATGCGGCGCCCATCACACCAGAGTCGCGGTGGGGAACCCTGGTGAGCAGAGAGGAGCTCCGAGCGGCCCAGCTGTCCGATGGACTTTGTCAGAAGGTGATGCACCAGCTGGCAGAAGAAAACTCAGCCGACGCTGGGAATCCCAGAGACTTGGACTCATACCTGCTCAGCAGCGACGGCATCCTGCTGCGATACATCCCCCAGGCGGACGATGGGTCCAGCGGCCCGCCATTCCGGTCTGTAATACCACGTAAACTGCGTAAGTCATTTATAAGATATATGCATGATCCCGCCTTGGCAGGCCACAGCAGTGGGAGCAAAACTTACGAAAAGTTGTCCCAAATTGCAACGTGGCCAGGTATGAGGCAGGATGTGATGAGGTACGCTCGTAGCTGCCCGGTTTGTCAGAAGGCAAAACCCCGAGGTGGCCAACCACCAGGTTTAATGCAGTCGGTCGAAAGCAAGTACCCCTGGGAGTGTGTTGCCTGCGACGTTGTCGGTCCCTTTCCCCGTAGTCCACGCGGCAATCAGTATTTGCTAGTAGTGACCGACCATTTCACAAAATGGGTCGAAATGTTTCCTTTGCGCAAACTAGACTCTAAGAAAATCTGGGACTGTCTTCTCGAGACGTTCGCACGCTTTGGCTTTGCCGCAACGCTTATTACAGACAACGCTTCTTATTTTGTTAGCAAGGTGTTCGTGGATGCGTGTAAGGCGCTAGGCATACGGCACAAACGGACTTCGCCATACCATCCACAGGCGAATATCACGGAAAGAGTGAACCGTAACCTGAAGCAGATGCTTGTATCGCATACAGAGCGACACAAAGACTGGGACGCGAAATTAGCAGAAATGGCATTCGCTACCCGCACAACAATCAACCGGTCCACGGGTTTTACTCCGGCCCAACTTAACTTTGGAAAAGAGCTCATGTTTCCCCTGGGAAACGGCCTCCTTTGCACAGATCCTGCAAGCACGCAGCGCACAACCACGCAGTTCGCAGAAGATCTCCGGAAGCGTTTCACGGAGAACCTGCGTGAAGCTCGAGAGAGCCTCGACGTCTCGAGACTGCAGCAGGCAAACCAGTACAACAAGGGGAGGCGAAATCTGCAGTTCAAGGTAGGAGATCTGGTACTGAGGCGAACTCATCCGCTGAGTGATGCTGCTAGAGGCTTCACGGCCTCTTTAGCAAAGAGGTGGGATGGCCCCTACCGTGTTAGTAGCAAGCTCTCCAACCTGTCTTATGAGCTGGTGCATTGTGAATCTGGTGAAGTGTGCGGGTCTATTCATGTCGCCGACCTAAAAGCTTTCTATGAACCCGAGGAGGTAGATGTGTCGCAGGTTCCAGATGACGACTATCCGGACCACCTCTCGGAAGATTCCACACCGTCTCTACCGCGGTACAACTTGAGACGGCGGTGAAGACGACCGGGAGTAGCACGAGTTCTAAGCGTATTATCTTCATACCCTCTTCGGTGTTTTGGGGGGGGAGAAGAGAACTGGTCCGCGCTCCCGCATGCACAGTGGGGCAGGCATCTTTCGTGTGCGCGGCTACTTTTTCCTACCGCGCCATGGCCTCATGTTGTTTTTAATTTCTAGTTCCTCGTGCCAGACAGCGGCGACGCAGCTCCCATCATCAGACCACCCCCATGGCTGCATCGGTACTGTCCGGAAGTACTGACATCGGACCCGTGCTCGCTCATCTGAGAAGACCCTTGCTGACCAAGAAGGAAGGCCCCCCCGAAAACCATCAAAGACGTCCTCTGTTTTCGTTTTTGGAAGGGGGGAGATGTGTGGGCAACCTGGCGATTCCAAGCGGTTGGCCCAGGCTGCCCCTCCGACAATCATAAGTGGTCATCTTGGCCACGGGGGGGCCAAGGGCAACTGGCCACGCGAGCGGCGCTCCGCCGCTGATAAAAGGCCGTCGCAGCGGATGCGCGGGGGCTGTTGGGATCGCGGCGCAGGCGATAGCGGTCATTAAATGTTTACGTGTTGTTGAACCGGTGTGCTGTGTCATTCTCCGAGACGGGTAGCAGCAAGGGAAATCCCACAGCATGTACCTATGTTTGTGTTTAGCTTTCTTCGTATTACGTATTAGAGCAATGCACGTGCCGCTTTTCTCAGGGGTAAGCCCAAGCCCGTGCAGTGCTCAATTATGTATTAACGCAACACGCTCATCATACCATTAAAAATTACTTCTGTCTGCTTTCTCGGTAGGGTTTCTGATTTAATGTGTATGTTCCCACAACCTCAGCATTATTTTCAGGAAATGCTCTTTTGTCTTGGGTTACCATTAAGAATTCAAGTTTCTTGTACGTAAACTTTGCAGGTCCTTGATACCGACCTGGGTGAGTACCTGGACTGGGACATTGACGCGACCCTCAGTGCGGGATCAAAAATCAGGGCTTCGCTGCTTGCGCCCCGACAGCCCACCCCACCCCCTGCTCCTGTAGCTGACACACCAGAAGTGTAAGATTGAGTGTTCTTAGTTTTTGAAGTGGTAGCTTTATAGGGTCAACCAACCTCAGCAGCTGTGCCTGCAAAAAGCGTGTATGTCGTGTGGACTGAGGAGGAAAGCTGAAAAGGGAGGAGAGGCTGCTCGACTTGCACAAAAGTATGCAGAAGGGAAACGCTGCCTGAGGCCGCACGCCCGGTTTTTCTGCAACGTGGCACAGAACATTTGAGATGGACTTCTGTTGAAGAAGTTTTGATAGCATGTACTAACACACAGCTTGGGAGCAGCGCATCCTGGGAAAAGCGCCATCTTTGTGTCTGCAAATGCAGACAGCTACACTGCCCAGCAATTCTTGCGGCGACCCTATGCACGAGCGACGGGGGCTCTATGCACTGTAACAGTGCAGTGTATAGTTGTGGCAACGTGACAATGTTGTCTTCAGGCACGCAACCAGGGGGGCGGCCCGTGGGGCCCGCCCGCCCCCCCCCCTTCCCCCCCCCCCCCCCCCCCCCCCGAAATCTTCCATTTTGCTGGGGCCTCCTCTCCCCCCTCCCCCTACTACAGCATTTTGTCATGGGCGGGCCTCCCGAAACAAAATCCTGGCTACGTGCCTGGTTGTCTTCATAAGTAGTTCTCCATCACTGGGCCCCTATGGCGGACGGCGGACAAGAACACATACACTACGAGGTGATGGTGGAAATCTGCGGCGTGAATCTATTCGTTATACAGCCGAAAAATCTTGTCCGAGACGGCAACCTGCGGCCAATTCACACGACTGACTGAATCGCACTGATCCGCGGACGGATTTGGTCACGAGACTACAAGCTCGCGCACAATCCAGCCCCGAGAGCATTCACATGGCAGATGAGATGAGCAGACGACAAGGAGGACGGATGAAACCCACCTTCAGCACCAGACACTCACAAAACGTCAGCAACGTGTAGTACGCAGTCGTCGGCAAGCTGGGGGCTGAGCTAAAGGTACCTATAATAAGTAAGTAAATTTGGGGGGTTTACATGCCAAACCAGTGAAGGGCATCTGGCATGTCCCAGCGGAAGACCGAGGATTAATTTAGACCACCTGGGGATCTTTTGACATGCAACCCAAATCTTACACTGCACCTTTTCTGCAATATGCCTCTGTCATACTGCAGGCATCTTGGCCAGGATTCGAACCCGCCGACTGGGGATCTGTAGGCCAGAGCCACCGAGGTGGCTCAGAGCTGCCTATAACAAATCTTTATTTCATGAACAAAAAGTAAGGGCGCAAACGAGCTGGGGTATATTGCACATGGTTGAAAAAACCCCGAGACTGCGGGTAACGACACAACACTAAAAAGTCTCTAAAACTTTTTAGAAACTTTTTAGTGTTGTGTCGTTTACCCGCAGTCTCGGTTTTTTTTCAACCATGTCCTTTATTTCACATGTCCTAGAACACCGACGCTGACCTGTGATTTTTTTTTTAATAAAGTGGGTTCAAAATGTTGGTAAACATAATTTTTCACGATTCCTTATGTTTAATATAAAACATTCCGTGAAAATAAAATAAACTAAACTTATGTGCATTGATAACCAATGTATAGGACTACATCGGCATGGTATTTGGCAAGCGACAAATATAATAACTCAGGAGATCCAAGGCTCTGAATATGTCACCGGATTGTCAAAGAGACGATGTTTGGCATTTTTTATCTCGATCAAACAAAATGCTAGAGTATTTTTCTTCCAACTAAAAAAAAGTCTGCATGGCACACAAAAAATTACTGTCCGTTTTGTATGCTTTTTGTAGTCATACCAGCGTACAGAACTAGGTAGAAAAATCATGGAGGAAAAAACAGATTTTCACCTTGCTCTACTTCAGATTTTCTTGTGAAGCGAAAAATTTTAAAAAAATTTTAAAAGTGGGTTTGTTCTTTACAGACGTAGGGCAATTACATATATTTTTAAAAAAAGAAATCGAAACACCCACCCCTACAGGCATGTTCGATTTCAAATAAAACCACCCTAGAGCATCCATCGTGCATGTGTGGTATCGCGGGAAGAATTGCTGGGCGGTATGGATGCACAGGCGGGCAGTGCGGCTGTCTGCTCTCACGTACACAAAGATGGCGCTGTTTCCAGAATGCACTGCTCTAAAGCCGCGCATGCATACTCCCCAATAAAGCTAGCGCATCTGGCAGACTGAACGAAGATTCAGCCAAATTTTTAAAGTGCTTTAAGATATTGCAGAAATGTGGTTCAATCACACTGCCTAAACTTTATGCAGCTGGTGGTGTTTTTATAAGCATGGATCATTGATTTCATAACTTGGCTCACATTTTCAGGCCAGCCTCCCCCTTGAGTGATGTGCTCATAATTCAGGAGGATTTGAGCCCCGCATTGGACCCAAGAAAGTACATGTTCCCAGCTACCCCAAAGGACATCGTGCACAACCTGTCAAAAGTAAAAACAAGGACAGATCTGAGACCGGAACTTCGCTTTCGGATTGTGGAGTGGTTATGTTTTGACCTTTTTAGATACACACTGTGAGTATGCCTCTGCCTCTGTAGTTTGACAGATAGAATTGTGCATAATATGTAAAGTTTGGCATTCCATGCTCTCTTTGCCCCCTTGTTCTTTTTCCTTTAAACATTCTGTAAGGATGAACTAAAAGAAATGCAAGCTTTTTGTCTATAGGTAATGAACTTGTGCTAATCTTGGCTTTCATAAGCACTGTAACACTCTATCGCGAAAAACGTGCACGCTTTGTTTTGCCGTTGACTCCTTGTAATTCATGGTTGCCTTACTAAACTTCTTTGTTAAGCATGTGTTTCTGGCAATGATATGTGCTCCGAAATGGAAATGCTGTGCTTTAATTAGAAGGCTACACGCCTGGACGTGCCTAAGATGGAGGCTTTACTGCACGTTCCAGGGTCAAGAAGCTCCAGTAGCACGAAAACCTTGTGGCAGTTACCTTGCTCGTAACTCAGAGCCGTGGTTACATCGAACATAATGCTATGCGACTAACTGCTCTTTTAATTGTGCTTCGCCACAGTGCACCCCTGTGCCACAGCACTGCTCATTTTTTCCGCAACCGGAGGGAGTAGAACTCGCACAGTGTGCAGCAGCACGTCAATCCATTTTCTCTCTGTCTGCGGAGCAGGCTTTACCTTAGGGAGCAGCCTTGGCGTTTATTGAGTTGTGCTTCTTGGTCATTGCAATATCTCGTCAGAAGTTCCGACCCCTGAGTCTCGCAAAATATTGGAAGGGTCACAGCACTGTTGACACACCAATGTCAAGCACATTTCCTCTGGTGCCGGAGAATGACAATGCACAAAGCATGCCTCTTGTGGCACGTCTAAAGCGACTTAAACTGGTAAAATCCAAAATGTCCATGAAGGCAACTACCAGTAAAAAAAGGGAGCTCCACCATTTTGCTTTGTAATTCTGTGCTTACTTTGAAATTTTTCCCTAGATTCTCGACTTATTGATACTGGACAGTCTTGCTGGACTTTTGCAATACCTTTTTGTTTTCGGCTTTGTGGGAGCTTAAATTACTGCAAAACCCTTTATTTTCGCAAGGGAATTAATAAAAGGGTTACGGATGAAAAATTTTACTCACATCTGATCTAATGCAGAAATCTGGATTTCTTCTGAACCTAGACATTCACCTATTTTATGACACTTGTATTAAATCTGTATCACTAAGTTACTTTGAATAAGGCTCACACATAGCCGGGACTGAAGCTATGGAATCTGTGATATGTTAAATCACATTATGTTTGACAACACAATTTCATCATGCTATGCAGTTAATCTGTTGACACTTTGATGTCTTGTGCTTTGTTTAGGTACCCAGGCAAGCTCTACGAGAGAGCTGCTCAACAACTGGTCCTTCGCCACAAGGTCCTGGCTGACGCAATCGGATCTGGTCATGTATGTTTCAGTTCAACCACACTTTTATTTGTGTTCACGCTACCATAAAATTTTGACTGTACGCTTACCCCTGGAAGATCGCCCACCTTGTTTTTCGGGCTAAATATCCGTGGGGTGAAAAATTCGGAAACATTGCAGTGGTGTGATTGCTGCGCCAATTGCGCCAAACTGCGCCAAGGGGCTAACCCTGCTACATCCTGCTACATTTTGCCGAAATGTAGGTAATCTGCGCCAAGCCTGCGCCAAAGGAGCAATTTCATTCGCCTTTTAAAACCGAAACTAAACTGAGAACCGTAATTGAGCATGCGTCAGCTAGGTGGCGCAAACGGCCGCCTGACTCAAAGCACCCTGCATCAATCGACCATCAGGTCTCGCATGTTTTTTCGCGCCGTCCTAACCTCCTTGCGGCCGTCTCGCGCTTCGCGCCCTTGTGCCCAACTTTGCTTGTGCCCTCGTCCTCGTCGTCTCGGAAATCTCGTCTCGCGTCTTTTAAATGTTTTTCAACGAAAGACGCAGGCGTGTGCGGACTCCCCGGCTAGTGTGCCGGGTGCCAGCCATGCCGTCATGCTGTGAAACCAAACCACGTTTTTGGGCGGCGAGAGTTACTTTGTGAGCTGAAACACTCGTGCGACCACAATCGCCGTGGTTGCACAACGTCGGGTGTTGCCGTCCCTACGTCGCTGCAGATATGGCACTTTCTAAACTTGTTAATCTACATTCCTGGCCTTCTTTAAATCATACTCTACTTAAAAAAAAACCCTCTAACTCAAAGACTGCTCGTCGAAATATTGATTACCTAAGTTTCTCTCGGTGGACTTTCTTTGAGGGGGAGCCCGGTATGTGAAAAATGTGCCGCAAAAGAAAGTTGGGGAAGAGAAGTGAGCTAAAGCAAAGAAAGCAATCTGTTCACATTGAACCCGCACATTGCGCTTGTTTGTCTCGAGTTTGGTCGTTGCACACTTTTATTTGTGCTTTTTTACTTTTTTACCCTGGCTCGCGATGTCATGCATCGATGCGCTCAGGTTCTTGTTTTCTGTGTGTTTAGCTTGCATATCGCCTGCCGGACTGGCAAGCACAGGCCGCTCGACTGCATTTTCTTTTTTTTTGTATGCTGAACAGTTACATTTTGCACACTATTTTGGGAACCAGTTGGAGACGGAGGGGAGTGGCATTGTTTCGGTTTCGATTGAACAGCCGTTGTCTCCGCTCGCGCAACGAAGCACATGCCACTGCAAGCCTGCTGAAGTTGCCCTCACGTGCATGTGAACCTGACTGCATGACAAAGGCACCAGCCGGGATGCTTGCAATTCATTGTTTTGCGTTTGGTTACTTTTGACGTCGGGAACCAGCAAAACGGTGGCAAGCGTTCTTTTCGGAATCGCTCGGCAACGCCTACAGCACTGTACACTTCTGGGATGTCTCAGCAGTAAAAACACTGGCAACGAGTTCCGTCACAACACGTCACATCAGAACAGAACACAACGCAAGGTACATTCGTTTGTAGAGCCCTTAAAAAGAATATTTTTGTTTTTCTAAGAATATCTGCTCCAAAAGCCACTTTTTCTGCTCCGAAACACTGTTCCAACTGCTCCAAAAGCCACTTTTGCTGCTCCAAAACACTGTTCCGGCTGCTCCAAAGGCCACTTTTGCTGCTCCAAAACATTGTTTTGGCTGCTCCAAAAGGTGCTCCAAAATGGCTTAGGCCAATCACATCACTGACATTTCCCACCGCACCGAATTCATGCTGTTTCTGAATGGGACTTACTCCTGCTTTAATGCTCTCTGCAATGCTCTGGACTAAAAGAGCTCATGTTGGGGCTCCAAACTATGTAAGTTACAGGGAAATGGTGAAATATGCCTGCAGTGCCTCTGGGGACAAGCCAAGCTTTATTTCATTGGAATTGCACGGTCACAATAAACATATAGGGTGGCATCAATCCACGGTGTCTGTGTAAAATTCACCAGAAAATTCAACACCCTCATGTAGAGAGTGCACATTTTCATTCAATTCGCACTTTCATCGTAAACGCATTCGTGTAAATTTTCTCTGTTCCGTTCCTGTGAAAAGTTAGAACAACATTCTTGGAAATTTCAGAAATGTGTCCACTATAGACGGTTGAGTTTACCACCGGTAGACGTGTTTATTTGCATTGAATTTCAATGGAACGGAGCTGGACTGCCAAGGAAAGCACTTCGGGAGAAGTGCCAAGGGTGCTGGCATTACTTTATGGTGCTGGGGGCATCGGTAAAATCAAGATCTGTCTCATTAAATATTGTTTTAAGGTAAAGTGTCATCCTGGGAAGCCTGCTCGGGCATTATTTATGAGATATCGAATATCGGTTCAGCATCCCTTTAAGGTTGGGTCATATTTTGACCTCCACCCACCCACACACGCACGCACAACATGTGCACACACACATGCATAGAAAAGTGATAACTGTTTACTAATATTTTTATCTAAGGACCTTACGAAACACTCTTTTATGTGTTCAAATATGCAGGATTCCTGGCACTTTTCCCTCAAGTACAAGTGCAAATATGAAAGGGCAAAAATTGAAAATGACGGCGAAGTAGCTTCAAATAAGCAGAAGTTTGGCAAGAAGCCAAGCTCCCAGGATGCAGCCAATGACAGCGAGTCTGCCAAACGAGTCTGCCGACAGGTGATTGGAATTTTATACTTTTATCTGAGCTTTTCGTAAATGAGGTTAAAGGCCATGAGGTTGATGTATGTGCCCCTTTGAATGAGGATTTTCAATAAAGAGCATTTCCTTAGTTATTTCACTCTTACCTCTGAATAGAGACCAGTGCTAAGAACTGTCTTTAGCAATCATGTACTATAACCATCCGTGTGAATCGGCTTGCTTGGTGTTTATCTCTCTCCACTAGGATTTCAAACAAGTCAACCAAAAATATTTTTTCTTTGCTCTGACCTTTTCAATCAGCTCCCCTGGCGGAGGCTGTGCAAACCCGTCAATCAGTTATTTGCAGAAGTGAATTCTATGCCTGCCTCATAGACCTGTCATGGAACGTAGCTACTAATAGCATTATGCTTCTAATTGTTACTCAACCAGCCTGAGAAGCTAGGGACTCCAAGCGAGGACGAGCACAGCATCCAAGGCCACATCAGGTCTATGCAGAAGGAAATGTCTAAGGCCCTTCCCAACATGGAGAAAGTTCAAGACGGAATGTCTAGGACCTTCAGTGCACGACGGCAATGGATAGCCACGGAACATCCATCTGTCGAAGAAATTCTGTCTCGCTACCCGGCTCTGGAGGGAGCAGAAGAAGTAAGTGTTAATTTGGAACTTGTAGTGCCTTTCAGTGTCATCACAATGGCCGACTTGTTGTGTAGTCGTAAAGTTTGTATCCTTACCATGAGGATAGATAGCTCTGATCAGTTGTGTCGATGGGAAGGAGGGTTAGACTTTCTGCGCATGTACCACACAGGGGATGCATTTCCTTGCTGATTGATAGGCTGGTGGATACCCTGTACCCTTCATTTTGGGTTTTAAAAAAGTGTTCCAACTTAGCAATCACATTGTCATCGTCCTGTAAATGCCTTTCATGCAGTGGGCTCTTCATGTAAGAAAAAAGAAGGAAGTTGCATAATTTTTGTGAGTTTCGCAATTTGAGACCAATTGTGAAAAATTTATTCGTGAGTAAAAGCCGACGATGGCAGATACATAGCATTGTGCGAAGAAATGAAAGCGATAGCTGTACAGTCAGGGACAAAAGTCCTCAGGACGTGCGAGCTGCGGCTGAAACGCATTGCTCTGCCATCTGGCGGCGGGTCGCCTGGTTTCGAGATCACACAAAAGCGCATGCGCGTCCTACTCTGCCTGCAAACATGTGTTTCTTCCCGCTCTTCTACGGCACAGCGCCTAACTCGGAATCGGGCGCGTGGTACCGCCTCGGGGATAGTGCTTGCAGCTTACGAGCGTCTGTTACACATTCTGAAACTCCATATACCGCCTGGGGCATTGAACCGCATTTCGCCGTGCCTGCGCACCTTGCTTGATAACCAGTTCAGCTTATCGCTCAGTTGGGCGGCCGTGACTTCTTGCTTTATAGGTGCCATGTCAGTAAGCGCTATCTCCGAGGCGGTACCACGCGCCCGATTCCGAGTTAGGCCAGGAGGTGTTGGTTAGGCGCCGCGCCGCAGAAGAGCGGGAAAGCGCACATGTTGGCAGGCACAGTAGGACGCGCATGCGCTTTTTTGTGATCTCGAAACCAGGTGACCCTCCGGCAGATGGCAGAGCAATGCGTTTCAGTCGCAGCTCGTGTGTCCTGGAGTCTTTTGTCCCCGACTGTACCATGTTCGCGCAATGCGGGCGAAATGCTGCCTTAACCCTTTGCTGCTCTGCGTAGCGAATTTGCGAAGCACCGAACTAACGGAGGCTGCACTTTAACATGACCGTCTCAACCCGAAATGCGAGTTGTTGAAAATTTGTGACGAACACTTCTTTACGATACAGCAAAATGCAACGTCAGTGATGTGATTGCTGCGCCGATTGTGCCAAACTGCGCCAAGCTGCTAACCCTGCTACATCCTGCTACATTTTGCCAAAATATGGGTAAACTGTGCCAAGCCTGCGCCAAAGGTCCAATTTTGGTCGCCTTTCAAAACCGAAACTAAACTGAGTACCGTAATTGAGCACGCGTGAGGTAGGTGGCGCAAGGGGCCGCCCGCCGCCCGACACAAAGTACCCTGCATCAATCGTTCATCCGGTCGCCCCCCCCCCCCCCCCCCCCCCTTGCGTGGCTTTCTCCAGCGTTTCTCGTTCCGTGCTTTCGCACCTCGTTGTCTTGCATTTTTTCCTTTTTGTTTTTTAAGGATAGGCGCGGGCGTTTGCGGGCGCTTTGACGCTAGCGTGCTAAATACCAGCCATGCCGTGAAGCTGCGAAACGAACCACGTTTTTGCACGGCGGGAGTTACTTTGTGAGCCGAAGCACTCGCTCCTGAAAGCAACGGCATTGGGAAAACAATATTTGGTCCCTGCCTGCCAGTCGCCGTGGTCGCGCGACGTTGGGTGTTACCGTCCCCACCTCGCTGCAGATATGGCGCTTTCTAAACTTAAAAATAAGGTTCGCCCTAATGTTCATCAACATTCCTGTTCTTGTTTAATACGCTGCTACAAAAATTCATCTATCTCAAGGACTGCTGTGTAAAAGTATTGATTACCTAGGTTTCTCTCGGTAGGCTTTCTTTCGAGAGGGACCCCGGTGCGTGAAAAAATCTGCCGCGAAAGACAGTTGGTGAAGGCAAGTGAGCTAAAGCAAAAAAAAGGCAATGTCTGCACGCTGAACCTGCACAGCACGCTTGGTTTTCTCGAGTTGAGTCCCGGCACAAAGCACTCCAAGAACTTTTTCACCTTAAAGGGATACTGGACCGAAATTTCGAACTCACAAAACAAGGCTGGACAGATAGGCGGGACGATGCAAAACCCAAAAACATCTCTCATACAGCGATATCTCAAACGGATCGCCATATTTTTGGAAAAGAAGCACCCGACTGAACCCGGCCGACGAGGCCGACAAGGCAAGGCACGTCACGATTCTTATTCCCTCTCCTTCTCACTACGTCCCGTGCTGAGCTGGTGAACTGAAGCGAGGAGGAGAGAGGCGAGGCCGCTCCCCCTCACTCTCAAATTCTCCCGGAGGACAGTGATGTCAGAGGCCTCGCTTGATGGCGCCCTTCTTTTCGAAAAGTGCGGCCATCCGTTCGAGATATCGATGTACGAGCAATGTTTCGGAGTTCGTAAAGTCCCGTTCAACGCTTCTAGAGCCTTATTTTGCGAAATTCAAATTTCGGTTCAGTATCCCTTTAACTCGAGATGTCTTGCATCGGTGTGCTCAGGTTATTTATTTTTTTTTTGTGTGTGTGTGTGTGTGTGTGTTTAGCTTTTAACGTCGCCTGACGGGCCGGGCAAGCACGTGCCGCTAAACTGTTTTTTTTTTTTTTTTTTTTTGCGTATGCTGGACAGTTTTATTTTTCCTACAATTTTGGGAACCAGTTGGCGACTGAGTAGAGTGGCATGGTTTCGATCAAACAGCCGTCTCCGCTCGCGCGACAATTTCGTATTGCACTGCAGTAGTTACATGTTTCATCAGTTGGAAACTGCTTTCATTTATTATATCACTAGTCAACCTAATGCTGTGCTATTTACTACTACCTAAGCAGGTAATTTTGAAATAAATTTTATTATGTGCAGTTTTGTTCTTATTTACCTATAGCGGATACATTTACAGGGTGTCACAAAAAAAACTTTCAGGTTTTTTTTTCCCGCAAAAATAAACTAGGCATCGCTGAACACTCATTCTCCGCCCAAAGGTAGCGCTAGAGGTCACAACCAGATGCCAAAGTTTCAGCCTGATCCGATTACATAATCAAAAGTTAAAAGTAATTTCTAAAAATTGCAGTGGGAAAATGGCGGCCGACGGAGTTTTTGTATACATGGGGCTCCATGGCTCCAGAAACCAAAAATGGGCTCCATTTTCCCATTGAAATTTTCAGAAAATCACATAACTTTTTAATAAAATATTGGATCGGGCTGAAACTTTGGCATCAGGTTGTGACCTCTAACGCTACCTTTGGGCGGAGAATGAGCGTTCAGCGATGTCTAGTTTATTTTTGCAGTGAAAAAACCCTGTAATTTTTTTTGTGACACCCTGTATATGTATCAGTTAACTGAACCATTGCAAAATCTGTCATGTCATTGGCATTTCAGTTTACATGTTCAAAGACTCCCAGGTGGTCTAACTTGACTATAATTGGTTTATTGCAGCGAGCAAAGTGTCCTTTGTTTGTCCAGCACTTAAAACAAATATTTTTATTTTTCTAAAAATATCTGCTCTAAAAGCTACTTTTGCTGCTCCAAAGCACTGTTTTAGCTGCTCCAAAAGCCACTTTTGTTGCTCTAAAACACAGTTTTGGCTGCTCCAAAGGCCACTTTTCCTGCTCCAAAACATTTTTTTGGCTGCTCCAAAAGGTGCTCCAAAATGGCTTAGCCCAATCACATCACTGAACGTGCACCTGTGATGCAAGAAGACCCAAACTGCTTTAAAAAATTCTACCAGCCTAGTATGCATAAGAAAAAATTAAAGCACCACGCACAACTCTTTAGAACAATTGTTAATTTTTTTAAGGCACACCAAAGTGAATTATCTTTTCATTGCAGCAAGCAGTTTCACTTGAAGCACTATTTTTTTTTCTATACTTTGACGTGTCTAACCTACTTGTTCAGGCCTAACTGCCAGATGTCATGAATTCACATTGTACCACATAATTAGCTTAGGTCAAAATTATTTGGGTAATCGATTACATATACCAAGCAAAAGATTAAGCATGAAAAAGATAAATTCTAAAATGCATATTTTGAAATTCTGGTTTTAAATGGCATACGAGGACGCAGGTAGAAAGCAGTTTAGGAAGAGCAGCCTCATCGTTACTTCCACGAGTGCTCCGTGATGGTGAGGTTACAGTAACTGTGTAGGCTTTGCATTCTTAAAATAACATTGCAAAGCGAAACATTTTTTTGTGTCACATGTCATAAATAAAAATTTTGAACGAAAAAAAAAAAAAGATATTTTAGGACATGCAGAGCTAGATTTACGGCTTTAGGCTTGTTTCAGTTGAGTGGTTTTCCTTTCCACTTTTCTCTCCCGAGCCTGTATTTTCTCCACGGAGGAAAGGTAATCCCCTCTCATATTCGACGGATCGACTTACCTATTACCCCACGTGACCAAATGCTAGGAAGAGCATTAAGTACGCAAGCAGACGAATTCGCGCCGCCTAAAGCGAGTCTTGTGCCATAAATATAGCTCTGAATTTCTTTTTTAGACACGCGTGATCTATCTAGAGTGGTAGTTTTTTGTAGTGTTTTTTTATGTGTTGACATGTCATGAAGGCACCCTGGCTTAGAGAAACTATATGCTCGTATGTAGCACAGTAGCGCAATGGTACAGTTGCCATGGGAGTTATGCGAGCGTGCGTTTTTTCCCCCTATGGGCGGTTTACTGGCGGCTTGTGATAGAAATCGTGATGACGTCACAGTCTGCCCATGTGGAGTGGGCCGTGATGTCATCTCTATTTCTATTGCAAGTCGCCAGTCGACCACCCATGGGTAAAAAACTCGCACTCTCATAGAGCTATTAACTTCCGTGGTGACTGTACCTACAGAGTTACCAGCTTCGCCACAGGTACTGCGAGAAGCGACAATAATTTTTTAAGAGAAACTTGTTTCGTGGCAAGAGCGATCGAGGCGACCATTGTTTACGTCGTATGCTCTCCGAAACTTAACAAGGAGTGTTTTAAAACATTGCTCAATGCCATTATGCAGTACTCGGTTGCTACACAAGATATTGAAAGCTTTTAAAAGGTTCCAGCTCATTTGATTTCTGTATAATGTTCATATTTCTCGAACGTGCCATTTGGCAAGGCTGCTTCGCCACAGAATTAGCAAACCTGCGCATATGACCCCCTCTCTGCCAACCTGAATTTTGCAGCAAAAAGAAAAGGAATGTGATACCTGGGCTCTGCAACCAGAGCCTATACAGTTACTCCACCCTAGCTCCGCTTGCAGAGCTGGAGTATACCACATATTTTCCTTTCACCGCCAACTCTGCATTGGTGGAGATAAGGTCGGATACAGAAAAACTAGCCAATGTTCTGCTGGGGGTGCGAGGCCTGCCGGGTGGGGAGCTTTCGGCAGAACATAGCTTTTGCTTGTGTATGCGAAATATAGATAGATCTGAGGTGGAAATTGCACGTGCTGGAACCATCTGAAACCCTTCACAATAATGTGTACCAACCAGAGTTGTAGCTGCCCTCCCCCCACGCCACTGGTAGAAACTGGGTGTGTATAATGATAAATTTTTATAATGCAAATGTCAAGGTTTTAAAATACCCGTTCTCAACTTCTTGCGAGCAAACAATGGCTTCCTCCCAGATGTAGTGCGCTTTGAGGCCATGAGCAGCGCATCACGTTGCAATTGGCAGGTTGGTCGGGGATCTCTGTCCGTATCCCCGCACGCCGTGGCCCTTCTTGCGCCAAAGGGAGAGAAGGGTTTTCCCATCTCGGTTACGACAAACGCCGGCACCAAAATCTCAGCAAGGTGTCCTCCATAAAGCTATCACTTCAAAAATGTGCATGCAAAATATCTCAGAAACTTGCACTTTCGGCAGATTTTTCAATCTCCCACTCACAAACAGTCGTTTACATGAGGAGGGAGGCAGACTTCCATAGCCTAAAGCAGGCACCTTTGTCACGGTCTTGTGTGCAGAATGATCTGGTACCTTGTTGTGAATCAAAAACACTTCCGTGGTTAGCTTGTCACTGGGCATTACCTTGATGCCCTCCTGGTAACCTCGTCAGGAGGTCACAGTACTATTTCTATGGCAGGTGCAATCTGTCAGGGGCACACCACAGCATTCGCAAAAATAGGCTCTTCAACAGCCTCATCAAAGACAACTGTTTTTTTGGCTTTTATTATGGTAGTGAAGCCACATGCTTCCATTGTTTGCATTGCTCTTCTGTGGCAGTATCATAATGGTACACCTTAAACTTACCCATAATGTTCAGGCAAATAAAAGAGGTTATCAGGGTCAGCTTCATGGACCTGCAGCATTTCTAAATGCAACATTTATGTTGCATTTAGGAATGTTGTAGATTTGTTTTGGCATTCCTTTTGCATGGATGAGTGCAGCAGACTCTTTGCAAAGCTGCAGCACCTTCCGCCGGTGACAAAGGACATGCGCTATCGCAGACTTGCCATAGCCAATAATGAAGAGTTGTTTAGCAGGCAAGGAGAGACAAGCAGCAAGGCCATAGGAAGGTTGTGGTGACAGCACTTTGCACGTGGCCTTTTGGGATTTTTGCAAGTTGTCTATTGTGGGACTGAATAGGGGGCAACCATCATCATGAGCAGATCATTGTGCATGATGTTGCAGGATGACTCATGACTAATGCAAAGCATTCTGAATGTGCCACGACTACAGCCATGAGCACTTGCCCCTAGGTAAAAATTTTGCATTATTTTTTTTCTGATTATTTCATATCTTTCGGGAATTGGAAAGGTTTGGTGGGGACCCACCAGTCCAGACAATCATTGCGGTGGCAGAGGAACAAATCAACACTCTGCTCAACGTGGCAGCGAAAAAGGCGGACAAGACCACTTTTGAGATGTTGGAGAAGGCAGAGGCATGCGACACTGAGGATCAGAAATGTGAGAGAAGAATGAAGAATTGGTGCCTTTTCGCCGACAGTGTGCAAAATGAAAACGATAACTGCAGCATGTTCTTGCAGTGCGGGTATGATGATGATCAGTGGTGAGGAGAGGGGGTAATGTTGGGATAGAGCGATGAGGAGACAGGAAGGCCGCCCTTTCAGCCAAATTGTGCAACGATGCGAGAGCGCTTAGTTAGTAACAGTGCATGTGGGGAAGGGGGGAGCAATTCAGCATAACAGATTAAATGTTTCAGAACAGCTCTTTTGAAGTTCTCGGTAGCAGATGACAAGGGAGGCGCTCAAGGCCGCACACGTCATGTCGCGCCATGATTGGCGAGTCAGTTAGGGCTCTTTCCCGCGCGCTCTTTCCTCAACATTGCCCACCCGCGCCACGAGAGAAGAGAAGGCTTTCTGGGTTTTACCTTCTGCATTATTCTATGGCTTTTTATAATTTATTGTTTGCTGCTTTGTTCCCATTGCAGTGATGACCGCCCTGGCCTTCCTGCTCTTGCTGCCACGGACAGTGAGGGAGAGGCCAGATGCATTTCTCAAGGACACGGTAATGCAAACCTGTGCAGTGGTGCTTTCACGGCTACCTTTATTTTATTACTCGTAATGAATTCATGAACCATAATACACGATCCTACTTTCCTCGCATTTATATGGTACTTTGTTCGAACACGGCACAGCGGGCATACCATGCATGTGTATAGGATGGCTGGTCTGATATTCTGTCACTATTACAATATTCTCCCATTTCTGCAGCTGCTCGTGTAATTGTTAGATTTTCGTATAAATATCTAATCCCAATAAACCCACATTCTTAAGAGGGAAAACAATTTTCATACTCGCCAACATCATCAAACGCAGCATCTCGCTGTTACCAGTAGCAATTTTGGAAAGGCTCTGTTTCTCATTATAGAAGCAAAAAATAGTGTTCCCCTCACTCGTTAAACTGAGTATACTCTAGTAATGTGAGTGCATGGTTAAAGGCTTCTATTTCAAAGCATTTCGGATGGCTTCGGACACCCAATTGCAACTTTAACTCATTGACTGCTATTTGAACTACCATAAAGTTGCCAAGGCACGCCTACTCCTCGTGAATAGACAAACACTGAAAAATGTGGGCAAACTTTCGGATGATGTAAGCACAGTTTTGAAGAAAAAAGCAGTCAACGTGCTGGAACATGTTATGGATTGCGCGCACTGTACAAGGACGGGTACTGCAGGCCACAGATCCAGAAAACTATACTTTGTGTCACCTTACGGTAGACCAATCCCACAAAGCAATGGTGTCATGTTACTTAGCGCGACTCTAACGTCACATGACGCATTCTCGACATCAGGCTGAATGCACTGACTCATAGTATCTGCTACAATCCATTTTAAAGGGATACTACAACGAAATTTCGGTGCTCATTTTTTTGGTCTATATGTGTTCAAAGGAGCAATATCACATCGAACATACCAATATCTTGTTAAAAATTTTCGAAAAGGAATTTTAAAACAAATTAAACGATTAGCAAAGAGCACCTGGTGGATGTCGCTAACGCCTCGTTTGTAATGCTCGTCTAGGAACCTTGACAGCTAGTGACTGAAGTTGTCTCGCCTCCGGCCACGACGAGAGAATAGGGGCAGGAGGAACTCCCCTCTTCCCGAGAATGCCTTTTGTGTGTCGCAGAAGTCACTATTGTCCCCCTAAAAGATTATAAAAGATTAACCCGTCACTTAAAATTTGTACAAAAGCAGCCGCTTCGGCGGCTGGAACGACTAGGCCATCCTCTCGACGTCAGCCTCGCCGTAGCTTTGCTCGTTTTGAGACGACCTACGTCACGATTGCGTTGGATGTCACAAGGTTTCCGCTGGGCCTTCTCCGAGCGCTTGCCAGAGTCACCAGGCTCAAAATACAAACGTGCGATTGTCATTTACGGATATTGTGGATTATATTCTACCTATTTTTGAACACGGCGGGAATATTTCAAATTTTGTAGAAGCATCCCTTTAAGGTGAAATGGAGCTTAGCGTTCTATACTTGACTTTAAAGTTCATATGACTGGCCAGCAGCCCCGTGTGTATGCCGCATTATTTGGTAGAACACATGCGAATGAGCATCCCTGTATCGGGCGACAGCTGGCATCCCCCAGGCACGTAGCCAGGATTTTGGGAAAGGGGGGGAAAGGAGAGGAGGAGAGCAGGCCCCAGCAAAATGGAAAATTTTGGGAAAGGGGGGGGGGCTGGCACCATCGCTCCCTCCCCCCCCCCCTGGCTACGTGCTTGGCGTCGCCTAGCGGATGGTGGCGAATACTATGGGTGCTAAAAGCCTCTGAAAAGCCTCCGTGGCTGTTGACAACCTGCCGTGTGAAACTGGTGTGCGTGTAACTGGTATAGACCACGTGTTTTCTGTTTAGGGTCATTCCATGCCAAACATCCCAGGCATTGTGCCCGATCCTCTCAGATTTACTAAAATGTGAATAGACTCCCTGAAATATTTTGGTCTAAAATTTTTTTTGCATGAAGTCTTGGCAGTTTAAACTTTTAGAAAGCATGTGAAACTAAGTGCTGTTCAATAATTGATAAAACTTCAAATTTTTATGAAACACTGCACAATTTTCTTTGTATAATTTACAGAATTTGTGGCTTGCTATGCAATTAAGACTGTAATTTTGAAAATTTTAAGCATTTGTTTTTAATTGAAAGCGAGTGTGGAAATTAAAACATTTCTTTATTTCTTTTTAATGTACTTATCCTTGAGAAATATAAAACCTTTTATTGGATGCTTTATAGGTATACTATCAATGAAAAAGAAATTCAAGCAGTCAACTAAATATTTTGCAAAAAAAAAAACAAATTTGGGAAAAAGTTTTTTGCATACACAGACGTTTATTTCATCCTGAGGTGCTCCAAGTGAAAATACAAAACATTGCGGTTTCGAAAAACACATTGATTTTGTTTTGTTTCTCAAACTTTAATCAAAATAACTTTTGTTGAAAGCAAAAAACAACTTTGTAGTTGAGCTTCCACACCACGACCTAGTGCCATCTCTTAAAGCTTCTTCACCGCAGAGCATGCCACCGTCGACATTATAACTGGGTGAAGCTACAGGTTAAGACTGAAACATTTTTTTTATGTCTTAATCGTGTTTCTTCATGCACAAGTCCGTATGAAGTTATGGTGCCCGGTGGGTAGGCATTGAGTTTCCGGGTGTGGGGAGCTCCCGTCAGGTACAAAGGAGGGCGCAGCAGTCCTGGTATGCACTGGTGGCACTTCCGACTATCACACAATATCCGCCGTTGCTTTCTATGCTGTCGGAAAGGCGGACAAGTGGAGGGGGAAATGAGCAGAAGCATTTTTTTTTCACTGTAATTCTCATGTCAGCTACTACGTGAGGTGAGATGCTGTGCCGTGAGGAGGGATTAAGATGCAACGCTGCATGGGTAGTGTTGGGAGAGCTCAGCTCCAAAAATGTTTTTCTTGCTTTCAAAGGAATGAATTTTGATAAACCTTTCAGGAACAAAAGTCAATAAACACTTCTATCCAACCTAGTATGTTTTCAACTTTTACTTGGACTATAAAGAAAAACTAAATGGCTGATTGTGTCAAAAGCATACACTTTTCTGGAATTTGAGAATTCTTGTTCTTGCAAGGATTATAGAAGGGTATCTATTTACCTTCAAATATAATATGTACGAACCATACAAACACCTTGCAGAAAAACACTGAAATTGCAGAAAAGTGTGCTTGTGGCACACTATCAGCCATTTTTTTATGTAGTCCAAGTAAAGGCTTAAAATATACTAGGTAGGATAGAAGCATTTATTGTCTTCTGTTCCTGAAGGGTTTATCAAAATTAATTTCTTTTAAAGCAAGAAAAACATTTTTGGAGCTGAGCTTTCACGACAGAGCACGTCACCTCACGTAGTAGCTGATATGAGATTTATGATCAAACAAATGCTTCCGCCTTCTGCCACTTCTACTTGTCCGCCTTTTCGGCAGCGTAGAAAGCAACAGCGGAAATCGTGTAATAATCGGAGGTGCCACCAATGCATACAAGGCCTGCTGTGCCCTCCTTTTTTACCTGATGGCAACTCCCCACACAGGGAAACTGAATGGCTACTCAGCGGGAGGTGACCTTTTGGTGTTTAAATTTGGTATTTTTCGGTGTCTATTTCCAATGTCAACCAGAGACGGGTTTATCGGGACTTACGCCATAATGGCGAATGCACATCTACAGCGTTTCTCCAAAGCAGCCTTGTGTACAGTTTGGGGTTAATGAAAATAAAACTTCTGACAAAGGTAAATTGCTGTGAAACTGGGTTTACCTTATTCAAGCAGGGGTTCCAATTCAGTGTTTTTCAGTTTCCATCGATTTCGAGAAAAACCTTTCGGGGGTTACTTCTCAGTGTTTCTTGGTATATACCGAAGACACGAAACCCTAATCATAGTGTTGACAGTGGCGTGCTGCACGGTGAAGAGGCTTTAAAGGGGCTCTCTCGAGCGTTCTGATATGGTCTTTATAGTTGTAACTCAATATGCGTGCTCTCGGGATTCAAAATATAGAAAAATTAAATCGTGTAGCTTATTTTTTTTTATAAAATGTGATCAGAGATTGCAAATCTCAGACCTACGGGTGGTACCACCAATCCCGGCTGAATGTGGTCAAACAACGAGCGGTGCTCGTTAGCCAATCGCGAGCGAGGGCTTTCCATGAGGAAGAGCAGGACTGGTCAGCGGCTCGTCCGCATGGGAAGCCATCGCTCGTGACAGGCTGATGAGCGCAGTTCGTCGTTGGACCACATTCGGCCAGGTTTCGTGACGCCATCTGTAGGGCTGAGACTCACTATCTTTAATCACGCTTATAATAGGCAAATAAGCCGCACATGTTTTTGGGACGCTTAGAGCATGCAGGTTGAGTTACAGCCATAACTAAGCCACCTTAGAACACCCCGGAGTGCACCTTTAAGAGATAGTGCTCGGTCATGGTGCGAAAGCTCAACTTCAGGAAAGGTTTTCTTGCTCTAAACAAAACTTATATTGATTAAACCTTGAGGAAAAAGGGAAATCAACGCCTCTATCGAACCCACTATGTTTTGTATTTTTACTTGAGGGTGAAATAAATTACTGTTTATGCTCAAAAAATATTTTTCACACATTTTGAATTTTTTTCTGCAAGGTATTTAGTTGAGTGGTTTCATATTTCCCAAGAGTAAGTTCATTCACTTTTAAAACAATAAAGAAATGTTCTAACTTCACATTACATTTTAATTAAAAACAAATACTTTGATTCTTCAAAATTATGCATTCTTAATTGCATTGCAGGCCACAAGCTGTGTAAATTATAAAAAAAACGAGTGTTTTATTAAAGGCCTGAATTTTCATCAATTGTTGAATAACACCTAGTTTCACGCACTTCCTAAAAGTTTAAATTGTAGGTAAACAGCATGAATTTTTTTCAGACAATCAGAGAAGGTCGAACGCAATATCTGGGACGTTTGGCATGAAATTTTTCTCTATTCTATTCTTCGAATTTCAAATTTTCTGATTTAGACACAATTTGCTGGCATATCAAACGGCAACCAAAAATTGTGGAAACTCGCCTGTGGCACTTCTTTGCTTTGCATATGTTAATTGCGGCCTTGCAGTTGCGATAAAAGAGGCACTGCTCGGCCTGCCATATTTCGGCATTCCTGTAACCTACCGAGTTTCAAAACTCAGCTTTTAACCCAGGGCATTACAGCAGAATGTATGAATATTTAGTCAGGAAAATTACGTTGGCAATCTTTTGGGGGTGAGCATGCATTTGGAACTTTACGACATGTAAAAAGCCCAATGTTTTGGCACCAACAGATCTTTTCTTTTTTTTACGTATGATTTCAGGCGCCAACGTTCTCCAAGCACCCGTGTGTTGTTTGCAACGGTGCTCTGGAAAGCCCTGGGCCCTGCATGGTGCAGGTTGAAAGTCAGCTGTTCAAGGTCGACCACCCAGTGCATGCGATTCTGGTCGCATTCTCCCTGCACTGGGTGGTTGACATGTGCTACCAACCTGCCGCCAGGGGCCACTATACCCTTGTTGATCACCTGCTGGGGCTGACGGCCACGAAGCCAGCAGGAATGGTACTGACGACACTGTCGGCAATGAAAGAGGCATTAAAAAAGAAATAAAATCGCTCCAGTCGAGTGAAATGACAACTTGGGCAACCAGTGTCTTCTTATTTCGTGATGATATACAGTGGCAGTGTATAACCACTTGTAACTTTGTCTTATCAGGTGGGAGGTTCCTTCGTAGAGGGAAGAGTTTTTATCCAGCAGCAGAAATGGTTAGAAAATTTTCCTTCGAAGTGGAGGGAATTTCCACCGTTAGTTGAAATGAGTGGGAATATTTCTCCTGTCAAGATGGGGAAAATTTCTTCTGTAGCCAAGATATCGGTGGGAATTTTACTTCCTCCTGAAGAGAGGAAATTTCCACCATACCAAAGAAATGGGTGGTAACTTTCGTCCTTTCCGAAAAGGGGAAATTCCCCCCCTAAGAAAGAAATAGGTGGGAATATTCCCCCGTTCTGAAGAGAGGAAATTTCGACCATACTGGAAAAATGGGTGGCGATTTTCCCCCCTCCTCAAGAGTGGAAATTTCCACCTTTCCAAAGAAATAGGTGGAAAATTTCCTCCCCATCGAATGGGGGAAATTTCCTCCCTGAGAAAGAAATTGGTGGGAATACTCCCCCGTTCTGAAGGGAGGAAATTTCGACCATACTGGAAAAATGAGTGGCGATTTTCCTCCCTCCTCTAGAGTGGAAATTTCCACCTTTCCAAAGAAATAGGTGGAAAATTTCCTCCCCATCGAATGGGGGAAATTTCCGCCCTAAGAAAGAAATAGGTGGGAATACTCCCCCGTTCGGAAGAGTGGAAATTTCGACCATACTGAAAAAACGGGTGGTGATTTTCCTCCCTCCTCAAGAGTGGAAATTTCCACCTTTCCAAAAAATAGGTGGGAAATTTCCTCCCCATTGAATGGGGGAAATTTCCTCCCTTTTGTAGGGTGGCAAATTTCCCCCTTTTAGAGGGGAACATACGGGACATTTCATTTCCTCCCTTTAGGGAGGGAGTACTACTCCCTTTTTTTTTAGAGTGTAGTCCTCGCTTGATCGCTCCCTTTCCTTCCAAAAATACAGCCACCTGTCTGAAATATCGATGTATTGGTGATTTTTGGAGTTTGTAGCATTCCGTTCAGCGCTTTTATGGCCTCACTTTGTGGAATCCTAATTTCGGGTCAGTATCCCTTGAAGGTCTCAGCGCAGACTTTGTTTTTCGGTAAAAAAACATTGTGCTTCGCCTCGACATTTGCTGGGTGGCCCAGTAAAAGGTGACAATCGGCTCCCTTAGTATTCAGCGGGAGTATGGACTGACGACTTTCTTTGGAGTGATTGACAAAACAGGTTCTTTTCCGACCGTATAATACAATATCTTTTATTTCCAGGTGTTTGCATCTGTATGCTGTGCCGGCGTACGCACAAATACACTCGGAAAGCCGGAAGTTTGTCACACCAAAGGCGTTGTTTATTCTATGTAACTGCGCTCGAGGCCTGCCATATTTGCATGTAGCAACCGCAAAAAAGCACGTCATTATTAGTAAAAATTTAAACAGATTTTAAATACACATCATAAAAGTTTCTGCTATATAACCATAACAATGGGCTTATATGGAATAAAACTTTGGAGTTACTACTTCGATGGTAAAGTTTTATTTTCGAAAGCGCAGAAAAAATAACATAAGAACAAATGAACTTACGATTAATGAATGATTGCAAACTAATGATCCAGCTACATTTTAAAATTTTCGGTTTGTTGCAAGATAAAAGAATGAATCTAAACAAAATCAGGACGAAAACTTCAGCGCGCATGCAGCCACTTTTGTTTGAACTTCGTCAGCTCTTGGAAGCTTCCCTTCACCTTCGGATGTATTAATGCCACCTTCCTTGAGGACTGCTTTGACACCTCCTCCAGATTCATATACACCAGTTGTCTGAAAGAAATGTTGTAAAGAAATGTTAGATGGGCTTTAATTAGATGAAAGCAACTTAGGAAAGGAATTAGGAATTCTTTGCCCTCTCTTTAAGATTTAAGCCTCCAGTTACTACTCCTATCTGCGAAAACGTTCTATCATGTCAACCATACCTTCATATTCTTAAATATGTGAGTCTCTCCTAGAAATCTCTCTACATCCTTAAAGGGGCACTGACACATCAAAATCATATTTTTTTTATTATCCAAAACGATTGAAAACGATGCCGGGACATCACCCTCAAAATTTGAGATTTGGGAATTCAGTATTCGTGAAGTAAAAAAACAATTTCCAAATGCCGAATTCGAAGTTCCCGCGCGATCGGCGCCGGTGCCTTGACGTCAAAAATCGCGGAGACCTGAGAGTCGACTTCCTTTCACCTCTCCCTGCTGTTGCCATGGCGACCCAAAGCGAGGAGGAAAGGAGCGAGCGCCCGGCGTTGCGGCGGACCGGTTTTGAGCGGTGTCGCCTGTTTTCCGTTGGAGGACACAAATCCAGGAGACGGCACCACAACGAACTCCCGATTTTTGGTATTTCAAAAAGAAGGGCCGTAGTGCGTTCGCAATTGCGTTAAAAAACATGTTTTAGGATTGCCGTAATTAAATGTTATAGAGATGTCGCCTACAAAGCTTCTAAATTTCCTGATTTTTGACGTCACCGATCAAAAGAAGCGAGGAGGCGAGACGCGGGAAAATCAAACGCCAAAAATAAAAAGGCGCGCGCGCGCGCGGGAAAATTTTTTTTCGCGATGCGGTTTTTTTTGCGTGTCTATGACTGCAACGTGCATCGTTTTAGGCAATAAAAATAAATACGACCTTTGGGGTGTCAGTGCCCCTTTAAGAGTGAAATCTTCAAGACTTTACAATACCGTAACTTGAAACACTCAAAGATAAACTAAGCACGCTAAACCAGCCTAAAGAAGCGCGTGAACCACAGCCTATGAGTAAAGTGCACTCATTATTTTATCCACATTTGAAATACCTGCATACTTCAATTGTATATTCCAAGCCATGCATAACGAGTGGTCGTACATATGCGGCTGATTTCCCAACTGTGATCCGGTGATCGTAATACCCACTTCTTCATCGTCTTCAGGTGAAGAAAGTAAACTTAGACACTTATTTTAAACCCCTCTAATTTACCTACAAATTTACTGTTTAAATGAATATTGTACCTGACCAATATTATTCCAATATATGGTAAACTTTATGCGGCATTGCCAAGGAGGCGATTGGCGACAAACGAAATGCGAAACTTATTGACAGACCTTGTGGTTACTCTTTTCATAGATAGCAACTTTGTGCATTATTGTTGCTTTTGCAATGATCTTCTATCTTAATTCATTGACTTCGAGCAATAGGAGTTGTATCAAGAGCAGCTTTTTTTATAAAAAATAAAATAGTATTTTTACGAGCAACCTTATCGACGAAACTTTGACAGTAGGAACTTCCTGCATAGCGCTTCCGCAGGGCACGCAGGCGGTGGCTAGCCTCGCGGGCGCGTGCTTGATTCTTGCTTAATGTGGCAGCACGATATCCAGCTAGCTCTCCACTAGCTACGCAGCGATCACAGTACTAATGATCGACAAAAACACCCTACTGCGTCCCCCAGTAGTTCAGTACCGGAAGATCGTAGCGGAAGACGGAGTTAAACATTCTTATCCCCCTGTCAGACGGCAGCTAAAATGGCATTTACGCCAAATGACATTCACGTTTTCAAATGGCGTTCAAGATGGGACCTGCCCGACCTGCCAGAAGACAACTAAAATGACAGTTAGGTGATGTTTATTACGATTGCAGTCTCAAAGTCGTCCCGTGCACATAAATCACGTTTGCGTCAATAAACAATGTTAACACAGCGAAACATTTCTTTTTGTCTGTTGTCTGCTGGGACAACAAAATATAACAAAAAACCGGGATAGAAATTTGCACTCACAAGATTTAAATGTGTTCGGTTTCTGACAAAAAAAAAAAAAAATCAACCAAAGTGTGAGGCGAAACTATTAGCCAACGTAACGTCGTCATAAGCCAATCCGTAAGTCAAGCCTTCCGTGCTCCTCCACTACAGCTGACATTTACTCGCTCTCAGCTATCAGTTCTTTCGGTAATTTCTGTAGTGATTGCTTGCTCTGGGTGTCCCTCGCGCTCGATCTTGGTCTGCCGTGTTCACTTCTACGTCTGCGAGGGATCCTGGACGCCGTATTATACTTCCGCCGTTGCTATCATGGCGGTATGGGTTGATATTGGTTCGAGCGTCTCCGGCTGTTGAGAAGGACGTCCCTTATCTTCGTCGTAGACGCATTCCGCGAGCTTCGGTTCGAAAACATGCTACCATACCTACTAACGTACTACGTCTTCAAGCAGCCGTTTGGGTGATGCCGGCGACGTGATCAGGTATACCTTGTGAATGTGTGTCGGCGTTACATAGAGTGCTTGGTTGGCCAGGTGACTTGTGTGCACCTAACTGCCCGAGTGAGGAAGCGAGTCGGCGCTGCAATGCCATACTCCACTGCGGAGGACAGAACCATCGTCAACTTCTCGTCGTGGGGCACACCACTGCCAAGTGATCGCATCCCTCCGACGCGACTGGCCGAGGATCGCGAGCGCCGCCGAGACCGCTGAACGGTTAAACACACGGGATAACCGAACTGCCCCAGGATTCGCGCAGGTCATAGAGAGTCGCTGTACGACTGCCACCTGTGACATCAAGTTCCAGCGCCAGTGGCCGCGTACCCTTTTTGGAAAAAAAAAGAAAAGTTTCGAGTAACGAAATACGATTTATTAAACAAAGTGTTGTCTGAACTAGTAAAAAAAATATCACTACATGGTTTTTCTAGCTTTTAAAAAATTCAGGCAATCTTGCTTTAAACTCACAACTTAAAAAAAACAAAACAAATTGTGTTTTTTATTATTGAGTGTCACTCAAAGCCAGACATGTACAAATTACTCAAAAAAGGTAGTTAAGTTAAAGTTACTGAGTATCCACGTCAAAGGTAATTGGAGTAGAGTAGAAATTACGCATGTGTAGTAGTAATTGAGTAAACTACTAACTACTCGAAAAAGTAGCGAGTTACTTTGAAGTTACTTTCGAAAATACTTTTTTA